TCGCGGCGGGGAGCGGGTGACCGGCCTCGGCAGGTTTCGTTGGTGCTGGCGCTCTTCAGTTTTGAGGAGTTTCCTGCGAACTGCAGATGGGTGGAAATGCAACCAGGTTCTAGAACTTTTCATCTTTCCCGGTTTGTTTATTAAATCCAAAAAGTGGTTAGCAGGAGAACCGCCTTTCAGACCCCACCTGCCCGTGAGCTGAGCGGGCTGTGCTTGGAAGCGTGCTCCAGGCTCCATCCTACGGACCTCCGATGGCTTCTCAGTCAGCAGGCGATCCCAGGAAACGGATGCCCAGCTTGTGGCATTCAATTATGTGTATGTGTCTAATTGTAAAGGAAAGTAAAATCATACAACGTGTATGAAAAGCTGGAAATACCTATTTTGATATTAATGCCCTAACGGCAAGCTGTAATTAAGGATTTGGGAATGTTTTGCATCTTGTGGGAACGAACCCCCCAGCCCCAATTCCCTACGCCCCTCATAACAGCTAAGTCCATTGTAACTTTCGGTAATTGGTTTTTTATTAAAATAAGAGACTGCAGTATAAATTTTAGCGACTAAGCTAAATAGGCATTAACAGGCCCTGGGATCCAACCGCAATTTGCAACATCGTTCCTTTGGGAAAATGGATTCTAAGTGCCCAATAACTAACTTACAAATAGACTTTTGAATCATAGTCCATTTGAGAATAAGGAACTGTTTGTGATAGTAATACCTCCAATTGGCTCACTCGAGAACTGCACAGAGGGACCTATATTCTGACACACGTGTGTGGTGAGCCTGGCTAGTCTGGGTTTGATCAAAGGTTATTGCTGAGTGGGCATTGAAAGCACAAGGATTAAAACCAAAGCAGAGGCCGGAGATGAGGCGTTAGCAGGGTGTGTCTGGGGAGGTTTTAGTAGTGGGAAAGGTTTTCGATCTCAGAGGCAAAGGCGCGATTCTGAGCAGATGAAGCAAAGGGAAACCGAGATGGAAAATAGGTAAGAAGGGAGGTTAGGAGCCGAGCAAGCTGAAAGCAGAAAGGCCAGGAGACAAGGAATAAGCATCAAAAGCCAGTTATTTTTAAGGAAATCATAATGCAAAATGTACCAGGAGGTCAGGCAAAATGGATGCCTCCGAGACCCGCAAATGGTCCCTTAACGATATTACGATGCGTGTTTAGAATCATGACTGAGATATGTCAATTCGTTGATAAAGTCAGTATATTTATTGAGCACGTGCTAAGGGTTAGCATGATCAGAGGTTGGCCAAGGGAGTTTCTGCCTTCGTCGAATTTATAGTTCAGAGTAATACCAGCCACCTATGAAAATGAGCCAAAGCAGGCAGATATGATGGTGGTGGTGTCTAGGTTCTGCTCATTAGCAGAATATTAGATCTTGATTACTTCAGCTTTAATTTTGTGTATTTGCCACCCCGACTGTAATATTTATGGGCGTAGGTAACATGGGATGTGTCCTCTTGGTCTTGCTTCTTTTTTTAAATCACCATGGGAGCATAGTAGGTACCCCAATAACTATATCTTGGTTGGTTGGTTATAATAGGCTTGACTCACGTGACTGCTTCATCGAACCCATTTGACACACGAGAAAACTATTTGTTAACGTACTACTTACCAGTGAACAAGAAGATGCCTGGTCAATAGAATATAAACGTGAAGTGTCTTTCATTGACGTGTGTAACTGAGTAATGCTTGGTGTTCTCTCTGCAAGTGGCAGGCACGACCCCCGGGCTCCCGCCGACTGCAGCTCGACATGGCGCAGCCAGCGGGTTCTTGTTCCTTCCCACAGGCGGCCTCTGCACTAGTGTCCCTTCCGTGCATTAGTGACTTTCTCGCCTGTGGTTCCACACTCGGCACGTACCTGTCACTGCGGTTATGTGTTCTGTTAGAGGCTTACTCGAGGCAGCAGACACGAGAGCGGTGGTCGCTTGTTTGCACGGTGCCCGAGTGCCCTCGTGCTGCTGCGGTCACAAGCTGGTGTGTATCCATTACGCCAAGAATAGCACTGCATGGCCAGTGGGCTCCGCTCGGGCTGCCAGAACAAAAATACCGTGGACTCGGGTGGATTAAACAACAGAAAGTTATTCTTCATGGTTTCGAAGGCGGGGTGTTAGGATCAAGGTGCCAGCACATCTGGCATCCGATGAGGGAGGGCTGGAGGGAAGCTGGTCTCCTGTCTCTCCTTGTAAAGGCTCTAATTGCGTCACGGGGTCTCCACCCTGATGACCCAATCTCCTCCCGAAGTCACAGCCTCCAAATACCATCGCACTGGGCATTAGGGTTTTAACATGCGAGTTTGGGAGGGACGCGAACATTCAGTCCATAGTGCTTTTCATGGTTCAACTTGAAAATACTCCAGCTTGGTATCACCCGTGTTCCCGAGGTCACCGAGGGCTGTGACACAGTGAGAGGCTCCCAGGAAGAGCAGCCACGTGTACCCCTCTGTCCTCGCCCGCCTCCATCAAAACTCCAGCTCCCTTTCGGGTGCTTCCCCTACACATTTTTCGGGAGGAGGGAGAAATTGCATTTGTTTCAAGAACATAGTTTTCTCATCCTGCAGTTCTGCCATTCGTGTCCCCAGTGCTCAGGCTCATTCTGGTGGCACTGTCCTTGCCCCCGTCCAGAGCCTCGCACAGTGACAGGTGATCAGCTGCCCGAACTTGGGGCCTCCCCACTCCACCTCCTGCTGAGGAGGAAGAGCCATCGGTGTCCCCTCCATCTCTGTGCATGCTCCAGAAATGACCTAAGCAGAGAAAGCACCCTTTGTAATATTACTGTCTCTACAAAGCTCCATGTGTGCTAGGCCCCCTTAAAAAGGCCACAGGCAATGGTCTGTACATCTCTGGTTTTTATGCCTCAGCCTTTCCCTTCATAAGTCCATGGGGGAGGCCTTTGGGAGTAAAGGACACCAGGCTAGCCCGAGCCTCTGCGACAGCATCAGCACGTCGCCCGCAGACCAGATCTGTGTACCCTGGCTCCTCTTTCCAGTGAAATATTTCCTTGGAGGGCTTCGTGTCCGCTACACATCGACGCCCGGCAGGCACACCCTCCAGAACTGCCCAGACCCGTCTTGAGTTCCCCAGGCCGCCGAGCTGGGATTCCCCTGAGTGAGAGGAATTTCTTCTCTCTAAGGGCAGACTGGAGGGCAGGTTCTGGAGGGCAGGCTGTTTGCACAAATTCGGTAAACACAGATGTTTTCATAGATGTTTTGTTGCACATTCAGAACGACTCAACTAATTATGGAGAAAAAGTATAGTTTCCTTTATTTTTGTTTTTTATAAAAGTACTTAACTTTTATTATTAGAGCTCTATTCTATCCATTTTCTCTTATGACAATGTCAATCATGGCATTTTTTCACTGTCCGAGTAGCGGAAGTGTGTATTTCCCTCGAGATGGGAAATTCTTAATGTATCAATAGCAGCAGAGGAAGAATGGGTTTTATTGAGCGCTTACTATGCGCCAAGCCCAGAGCTAAGCAAGCTACACCGTTGAGCTTGTTTGTCCATTACAAAAGTGCTATCGAATTAATATTTTTAGCTCCATTTTACATTTGAGAAAATTTCAATTTAAAGAGGTTAAGTAATTTGCCCAAGGTCATAGAGGTGGTAGGTGGACACTTGGGACTAGAGTCCACGCTGTCGGAACTGGGCTCCAGACCACGACCGTGCCTGAAATACATCTTTCTGATATTGCCAAGTGTCTCTTGTTGACTGAAAACTGAGCAGTAAGACAGTAGAACTGCTTCTCGGTGGTGATTGCAGAGGTGGGAGGATTCCTGTGCATTCAAATTCTTTCTTTAAGACTGTAATTTATGTTATCCCATGATGAATTGCATGTAAATGTAACTTAATAGCCAAAGGATAGTTGTCCAGACAAAATAATTTCAGCAGACTTTTGTGCTTCCCGATTAACTTAAACCAGATTTTTTATTATGAGCCAAAAATTACATTCTTATATATGAACCAGATATTCTAGTCAGAGTCATAAATTCACTGGGAAGATCAGAACAATATATATATATTTTTAAAAATCTTAAAAACGGTTCTATGCTTTAATTCCACCTAATAGACACCACACCAAAGGCACTTATGTAGGCTGGTAGTAATTTTTTAAAAAGTATTGGCGGTTTAATCTGATTAGATATTTTCTGTGACGTGAAAAGATCGGCAGTTCGTTTCTTACGCTGACGATACCTGGAGAGAAATGGTTTCATCTTTAAACCGAAGCTCTCGGCAGGGACCTCAGAGTAATCGTTCCCGTTATTTCCATATACCCGAGTATCTTCTGGATGCTTTTAAGATTACCTTGTGCAGACTGAGAAATATTTGCCAAAACGAAGTTCCAGCGACGTTATTCTTTTCCCCAGAAAGCACATTTGTTTATGCGGCGTTTCTAGGGGCACCGGGACTAACGTTTACGTAGTATAAAAGACAGGAGAAAAAGGCAGTCGTGAGGGCCTCAGTAACCAGAGTTCCAATGGGGAAGAATTTGGACGCTCTAGATCAGCCACAGACTGCAGCCAGGATGGATTACTGTGAATATCAAAGGTAGATATTTGACATATAATAAGACAGACCGAGAGAGCCGTCCAGTGAAGTATTTTTTTTTTTTTTTTTTTTAGGTGAGGAAACCTTTGTTTGACCTCACAGGTTGCAAGGACCTTGTCATCTTAAAATCCCTTCTCCTTCCTCTTCCTCTTATTGTTATTATTATTTACGCCTACAGCACCTGATCTTTCTAGTTAGTCTCCCATCCAAGTACTAACCAGGCCCGACCCTGCTTAGCTTCCGAGATCAGACGGGATCGGGCTCGTTCAGGGCGGCACCGGTGAAGTTTGAATGTAGAGCTATACCAAGTCGGACTCCGCTGGCGTATTTTGCGTTAGAACGGGCGTGCCGTCACTTCCAGACACTTACTCTTGATTTTCGTTTGGGTTTCAATTCGTTAAACACGCAACAACGTGACCCCCGCCACACACACTCTCCCCAACTGTCGTTTCAGGCGACGCGGGAAGCCATCACTCAGCACTGCACTGACCTCGGCAACCTGCTGGGCAAGGAGAACGACATGGCTCTCATCATCGACGGCCACACCCTCAAGTACGCGCTGTCCTTCGAGGTCAGGAGGAGCTTCCTGGACCTGGCACTCTCGTGTAAGGCCGTCATCTGCTGCAGGTAGGTGTGCCCCGGCTGGGCACGGTTCGCCTTCTGACCCGTCTGTGTCCTGCGTTTGGAGAGAAAAGGTCAACGCAGGGGAATTCTGGGGGTCAAGTTTCCTAAAAACGGCAAACCAAAAATACAGATTTAGCTGTCCATTTACAGATTTCGTGGAAGGCGGTTAGTGGTGGCGTGTGTGTGTGTGTGTGTGTGTGTGTGTGTGTGTGTGTGTGTGCGTGTGTGTTTTAATCTGGTTAATTATGATTAAATGCAGAACTACCACCAAGTTAATGTAAAATGTAAGATCTAGGCTATGTCCCAACAAAAGTATCACACACACACAAACACACAAGTGTGTGTGTGTGTGTGTGTGTGTGTGTGTGTGTGCGTGTGTGTTTTAATCTGGTGTTTGTTTCTTGTCTTCTGAGAACATAAAAGGAGAGCCAGGGCCTCTCGTCATTGTCACACCAGGGGATGACCCAGAAGCCCTCTGCCTCAAGCCGGTGTGGGGAGCTAGACAGGTGCTACTGCCCACTGCCCCCCGCTTTCTTGGTTCTGGGTGGCCGAGCGCAGCTTCCGGAGCCCATGGGTCTTCGCTGCCTCTGTCTCAACTGCGAGGTGTTTCTTTGCTGTCAACAGGGATTTGTCACTTCGATCCCGGCTGTGCCAATTTCTGTGTTACGACCTAACCAGAAGGCTTCGCTGGCTTGTCGTGAAATCTGGGGAGCCTCGCAGGGTGGGCGTTGTGTCTCGAGGTCCAGTTCTGACAGGGCTTTGAAAGTCCGAATTATAAAGAATTACACAGCAGGCCGTGTGCCCCCCGCCCCCCTCAGAGGTTCGGTAGACAACCTGAGAGGTGACAGGAGAGCTTCCTGTTCCTGCAAGCACTGCCGGATGGCACCTGGGACGGGGTTCGATCTCCGTAAAAGTTGCTGGGTCAATGATCTTATTGTGCCCGCTCTTATGTGTTGCATTTATACCTTTTTTTTTTTTTTACATTGTTTTCTTTGATATTTTCTCAGAAGCCAGTTATCGGAATGCTTTTAACTTCCTCATTGCTTTAGTCTTTTACAAACTCCTCCTGTGGGTTCACACAAGGTCCCTTGAGAATAGCCAGTTGTCACATTGACAAGATGGCTTTGCTGTTTCTGCCTTAGGAGGCCCCGGTGACATTATCGGCCATGCTTCTCCTTCTTTCTGCCCACACTTCTGTCGACACTCCCAATTGGGGTGCCCAGCAAGTCTGAGCAGGAGCCCACTGCCCTGACTTCAAGATCATTGTCTCTCCCAGGTGTTCCCAACCTCACCGTCCCCCGCCCCCACCGGTTCCAACATGACACCAAAGATTCTGTTCCCATTTCCCCACAAACACACCTCCCCGCCCGGAACCCGGAACTGTCCGCCTTCACATAACGACAGTTCCGTCTTTTCATTCTGCTGTCCTCATCGCCCTTCCTAATTAGGAATGTGCCCCCCAAGGCCGAGGACAGCTGGCGTGGCTGGCCGGTGGGGCATCCTGGCGGACATGGATGTTGCCCTCATGACCGTGATTGTAGGGCATTCAAGGCTGCCAGGAGTGGGGACAAATCCAGACATGCTTTAAACAATGAATGAGAACTCTGTCCCTGTTAGGTCAGGACACTCGTGCAGCTGTGAGGCCCCTGGGGGACTGAGGGACGACCAGAGCGTCTGGAAGTGAAACGCCGTGCTCCTGGCTTTGTGACGACCTCCCTCTCTCTTTTCTTTAAATAACTTATTGAGATATAATTCCATACCATGCAGTTCACCCATTTAAAGGGTATAGTTCAGTGGCTTTTACTGTACCAGCAGAGTTTGGTAACCATCACTACAACCAATTTTAGAATATTTCAGTCACCCCCAAAAGAAACTCTCCTATCCATTATCAATCAATCCTCATTGTCCTCTGCCTTCCAGGCCTCCCACCCTCAACTACTAAACCACTAATCTGCGTTTTTGTCTCCATAGATTTGCCTGTTCAGAATTTCCCATGAGTGTGATCTGACTGATTTATTTCACTTCGCATAGTGTCTTCAAGTTTCATCCAGATCGTAGGATGTATCAGTAGTTCATTGCTTTCTATAGCTGTATAACATTCCACCGTATGGATATACCACATTTTATTTATCCATTTGATTAACATTTGGATCATTTATACTTTCTGACTAGGATGAGTAATGCTGCTGTGACGATTCGCGTACGCATTTTTATGTAGATGTGTATTTTCATTTCTCGGAAGTACTTATCTAGAGGAGAAAGTGCTGGGTCAAGTGGTGACTCTGTGTTTCACCTCTGAGGAACTGTAATGCTGGTTTGCCAGGTGGCCACACCTTTTTCTGTTCCCACCGGCAGTACCTCTGTGCTGACACTTGTCATTATCTGTCGTTTTGATTGGTTAGCCCAGTGGGAAACAGCATCTCATTGTGGTTTTGCCCTGAGTTTCCCTGATGGTCACTGATGTTGAGAATCTTTCCATGTGGTTATTGGCCATTCGTGTGTCTTCTCTGGAGACATGTCTGTTCAAGTTATTTGCCCATGTTTACATTAGATAATTTTTAAATTATTGAATTGTGAGAGTTCTTTATATACTCGATACAGGTATCTTATCGGATGAATGATTTACAAATATTTTCTCCCATTCTGTAGGTGGCGTTTTCACTTTCTTGATGGTATTGTCTGTTGCATAAAAGATTTTAATCCTGAAGTCCAATTTGTCTGTCTTGTGTTTTGATGTCATATCTAACAAGGCCTCTTTTTTAAGCATCTGACACTGTGCTTTCTTGCTTGGATTCCATTTGGGTGGGTCAGGTTAGGGGCATGCAAATGGCAAGAAGGGTAGAAAGACGGGTGAGGAGGTAATTTTTTCTCATAATTCCCCCTTCATGTCTACGTTGTGGTGCCTGATTTCTGTGACGTCCTCAGCACAAAGGGTTGTTACACATCCCACCCAGAGCCAGGAGTCATAGTGAGAAAGCCACCATCGCTGCCAGCTGCCACGTTGGTCAAGGAGGCGTCACCCTGACTTGTCGGCAAGCAGAAACAAGCAACAGCAGCAGAAACAATAAGGAACAACACGGAAACGTCTGGTAAACTGTAAATCAAATCAAATGTGCTCTGACCTCATGGTTTTTCAAGGAAATCAAAACGAGTCCGTTTGGACTCTCAGGGGAGGGCTGAGAATGCCTTCCAGGGTCTCCATGCTGTTTTCTCGCCAGGTGCTTGATACGAAAGAAAAACATCTTTTTTTCCCCCTTCTTACTTTGGCTGCTTTCAAAGTGCTTTGTGTGTCACACTTTAAGCCTTCCAGGAAGGGGTTCAAACTGGAATTGGCACAGAGAGAGGAAATTTCAAATTAAATACTGTTACTGTCTACAAAATAGAAGCACTAATTGGGAAAAGGAATCTAGGATAACGGACCAGTTACCAATCCAGGAGACATTTCTTGGCTGATCTCACACTTAAGATTTTTTTAAAAATGAAGTTAACACATACTTACAAAAAAGGAAAAAGCACTGTACACTTCAGATGTGCTTACTTCTCACTGAGAATTTAAACTTAAGTTAAATTGAATATGTGACTTCAAACATAAAGTTTACCCGAACTCTCACTTTTCATCTTTAAAATGTAATGGTTATAAAAGTTACCTTTTTCTCTAATCATAGAAGATAATTTATTTTTGAAAATAATGTTTCAGTGAGTTCAAAAAGCACCGTCTCCCTTCGGTGTTGATTCAGAGACTGCTGAATGCTATAGAAAAACGGATAAATACTTTTAAACTAAAACATGATTTAGGCAATGAAAAGAGAGAAAAATGTAAGGATTCGTCAAATAATTTGCCAAGATTAGAATGAAATAATTTTGCTAATTACACATTGTTATACTCAGAAAAAAAAATTTTTTTTTTTTTTATGTAATTAAAATCCTAGAAGGATCATAAAGTTACCAGTCAGTCCTCCACTGCAGTCACTGCTCTGTCTGGCAGGGACATTGCCACCTTATGTGATCAGGTGTAAAAGGGGTCCGATAAGATTTTTATCGTGGGCTTGATATTTGCATTATATGTTCCTGGGTGTCATGGGAGAATAGAGACAAGACAAGACATGGTCTTTGCCTTTTAAGAGCTAATAACGAATGAGCGGATTACAGCTCTGCCTCTCTGCCTCTCGTGTACACCCCAACTCCTCGAACCAGGCCCTCAGCGAAGCTAGCAGACCCCAAATCTCCAATAACCCCATCGTGCCGTGAGCAGCAGGCTCTCGATTTCATTCTGGATTCCTTCCCTGCATTCCGTATCAGAGGCTGCCCCTTAGACGTGCTTCTGTGTCTGTTATTTCTCTCTCTCCTCCTTAGTCACGCAGCTCCCTCATGGGCTCTTCTGGTGGCCTTTGAAAGGTTGCTTTCCCAAGCTCTTGCCTCTAGCCCTTTCTCATTCCCACTTTCTATCCTCTCCTTGGTGCCTTCCATCTGTTCTTCTGGTCTTGTCTGTCTTCTACACTAGTGATTCTCAGCGCCAACTTTACAACGAAGCATCTCGAGAACTTTATACAGTTTTTATTCCTCAAAAAATGAAACCTTATCGTTCAGCAATTCCACTCCTGGGCATACATCCCAAAGAATTAAAAACAGGTAATAAAACAAGTACTTGTATGTGTATGTTCACAGCAGCATTATTCACAGCAGTCAAAAGGAGGAAACAACCCAAGTGTCCACTGGTGGATGAATGGGCAAACAAAATGTGGTATAGCCATACAATGGAATATTATTCAGCCACAAAAAAGGAACGAAGTACTGATACATGCTACAAAATGATGAACCTCAAAAACATACATAGTGAAAGGAGCCAGTCACAAAAGACAACATATTATGTGATTATATTCATATGAAGTATTCAGAATAAGCAAATCCATACAGATAGAAAGCAGATTCGTGATTGCGGGGGTGCTGGAAAGAAGAGGAATGGGGAGCACCTGTTTAATGAGTCCAGGGTTCCCTTTTGGGGA